GGGGGTGGAGGGGGGGGGTGCGTAGCGCACGCTTGAGTAGGAGCACGCAGCAAGCTGCTCGCGTGGCAGCTGGACGTGAGCTCGTGCGTGGGTTGCTCCATCTATTACGATTCGATCAAAACAGCGCAGTCGAGCAGCTAAGTGAGTGGCAAATTCCGTTTCCATCATGAAGTGAGCCTGGCGAAGGCAAGCCAACTAAAGAGAACGAGGAGACTGGTTTGAGGTTATAACCTGCATTTCACAATAAAGCACGTTTGAAGCTCTAAAGGAGCCACTAAAGAAAACTCGGGACGAAGTTGCTCTAACATCACTGCGCGCTGTCGCAGCAGGCTTGCTAAGGCGTCTTCAGACAGTCATTCACGCTGGAGTTGCCAAACCGGATGATCTTTTACTTGTTCTATTGCCACGACCTAAGGTAATTACATCCTAGGGGATAGGGTGGTATAAAAAAGGTGCCTCGTCGAATATACTGTTGCATTCCAGAAGTGCACACCCGATATATATGAAGGCAAACGTCGTGCGTAACTTGGTCAGAACAAAGGAGAAGCTTGGGACGCGTAGGGATTCAGATGTGGACGCGAAGGTCCAAAACATCCTTGAAAGCAACGGATATCTTGAAGTGCCTTTCAGGACCTGGTGCCTTTCGTTAACGACAAAATGGCACGTCAGGTGAACCGCGTCGTGAAGAACTCCCAGCTTCCCATTCGTCTCGTTTTTCGTCCTCCCCCAACCCTGAAAACCCTCCTCACGTCCTCAAGAATTTATGAAAATCGGTGCCGCGATGAATCTTGCCGGTACTGTTCATCCGAAAAGATTTGTGAACTTCAAGGCACTGTTTATCTCATTCAATGCAGAGGATGTGGAGAACAACGTGGGGGAGAACGAGGAATCGTCTGGCAGGAGCACAGAAGAGCGTTGAACAACCCCGCAAGCTTACCCCACAACGTAAACTACTCAAGACCACCGTACCTTTAGAACACCGAATGAGACGCTGACCGCTCCGTCTTTTGATGTGAGTGTGTTGCATCGCCATTTGGTACGGCCGCTCCAGAGGAAAATAATGGAAGCTCGGGAGATACACCGCCTCAAGCCAGAGATCAATGCGAAAGAAAGAGCTACCTTCTGAGACTCATCGCATAATCATCGCCACCTCCCGTTTGTCTCAGGAATCACTAGCGGCGTCACTTACTGTGGGCTGACACGCCCGCCGATAGTCCGTCCGCTTCTCATAAGGGCCGTAGGAATGTAAGGTTTTATGCAATGGGGGTTTTTTTTTTTTTTTTTTTTTTTTTTTGTTTTTGTTGGCTTCTTTGTAGCTACTATATGTTTGGAAATTGTAATTTATAGCGCATGACGAAATGGGCAAGAATTATAAGTGCCGGAAAGCTTGGGCCCAATAAAAGTTGTTAAACAAAAGTCGAAGAGCTTCAAGGCAGCACTGTGTCCCAAAAATCCCAAGATAAATAAGCTCTGCCACTCGACATATGTTGGTGACTATGATTCCGTTCGTCCGAACATCGACATCTTTTCTCGCACCTTAAAGGCATAAGGCACGATACGTATCTGTATTTGCCATTAGTAGCAGATAGAGGGGAAATGACGCAAACGCGAAGATGACGAAAACGCGAAGTGAAACGGTCAAACTTGCAAAAAGAATTCCCCTTTAGGCCGCAGGCATTGGACGAAACATTTTTGGAACGAGTTTTTCGGCGATGGCATCGTACCGAACAAACCGCTTCGATTACACGGCTGCATTCATGTATTCATATAGCCATGGAACAATGGTTCATATCAGTTGTCCGATAAGAGTACCAGCGTCGATACTGTGCGGCCATTTATGGGCGAGCGGTTGCGCTGGGCGTCTGGTTCGGCATGTTGCAGCTTGGTTAAACGCTGTAACGGTGCCCATGGTTGGAAAAGGCGCTTCGCAGCGACTGCTAAGGGAGTACACTATTCTTTCGTACTAGGTACGCCTTGTCGATCTATCATTCCACTTGTCTTTAAAGATTAGCTCCATGCTCAGCTCCGTGGATCCTAGCAATAGTCAGATGCAAAGTAAACCGGTGCTCCTCATCGCTCGAAAGTACGCCGAAACTGAGCCTCATACGCCCCTTCATCCACCGACGAATAGGGAATATGCTTTCTTTACGAACGACCTATAACCTCCAGCAAACTGACCCAACCTAGCTTTTCAAAGGTCTCAAAACTATGAATAATGTGTTCCTTGAATTATTATGAGACCTACCGCGCTCGGTGCGATGAAATCACTAATGTTCGATAACCTGACCGTCCCACCTGACCGTCCCACTGAATCCTTCATCCATCTGAGAGATAAAACACTTTAGTAGGACAAGAAAGAACTCGGAAAAGTATAGGTGATTCATACAATGAAGACAACAACGAACACATGTTAGTCGATTTATACATAACAATACCCATAAATACACCTTATCACACTTCGACATTAGTACTTATTAATTGTGCGGCAGCTTCCAGTAAGGATCTGAAAGTATTCTGATGGAAACTGAAAGAAAGAAAAATAATACTGTTGGGAGCTAAAGCGCGTAGCTGTCGCAATTTATCCGTTCTGGGGAACAGTGAATAATTTAGTCAGCACGATCAGTACATAGTAACCATTTAGTAGAGGTCCTATTTTCACCTCTGGTACACTTCGACAGGCGGAAATGGTGTACTAATTGCGTAGTGGTAGGTGACATGCTTACCACGCGCACAGTCCGGGGACAGATGCCGCGAGTTCGACCGCCGCTCAGGCGCAAAACTACCCCGCTCCGGCCAACCAAGCCCTCACCCTCCGGGAATGGTAAATTAGTATTAGATTCGTCTGCGAGCACTAACTTTTACATTGGCTGGCCCCACAAGTCACGGCATCACATTCAACGAGCCGTTTCGAATTTGAATGGAAGTATAATTAGGGCACGTTCTACCGCCGGGAAAGGTTTTCGGAGGGTACGACCCTCTTAGTTCACCGATGATTTTTTTCCCCAACTCCGCAAATTTCTCGTTAAGTCAAATACGTTCCCCCTATAGTACGTTAAACAAGAATCATATCGGAAAAAAACTTTCTTAGACCGAATACGACCCCCTGAGCGACCAAATGCGATAGGGATTCCCCAACGTAAGACGTGGTCTCAGCATAATACAAGCCGCAACCGAGATTTTATCCTTTTATCTCAAGAAAGTAGCGCACCTTCTGCTTCGAGCTTCGTGCGCGTCACACATTGTCTACCGATTTTTCTTTTGGAATAGTCTCTAGCTAATCCCGCCTCTTTAGAAATTTCCATTTTTTGATACTACATCGCTTGCCCCGGAGATTTCGCGCAAATCCTATGCACCTGACTTTCTGCCCTAGCTCCAATTTTACATTTGCATCCAAGGTCATCCTCTCCAACTAACAGACCAGTACACTGTGCAGGGTTCAAAGGGCATTTCAATTGTCCGGCTAACTAGCAAACACAAAAGGAGCACGAGACGCGACAGCGACGCGCAGAGCCACCTACTCGGAAGATATAAGACTCACTTTGACCGAATTTCATCACCAAATTTATGAAATGGGTTGGAGATTGCATTGCAGTAGAGATTATGAAATCGTTTGAATAATGCTCTTATATCGAAATCTTTCCAGTCAAGATTGTTCGCTTCAAGCACTAAGATCATACGCACTCCAGTGTTCGTGATGTAACCGAACGACTAAAAAGTGAAGCTGATATCCAGCTTTGTTTCACCTAGTTCAAAAAGCGTTCGTACTTCGCGATTC